AATTCTTAGCCTGTGTCCCCCTCTATTGGCCATTGTGAGAATAGGTCAATGTGACTAAATTTAATTGAATCATAGGTCTTATTCTATGTCCAAATTCTTCCAAGGGTACAGGATGGTTGCATATTTTGCCTTCAGTACTCACAGGAGATTCAGAATTCTAATTTATGCAATTTTATTGTATCGTATGGTAGTTTTGTTTTTTAAAAATTTACTGCTGGGCTAGAAATTAAACCCAGGGTCTTGCACATGCCAGGCAAATGCTCAACCACTGAGTTACGTGCCCACTCCCTCATAGTGTACCTGATGAGCAGTCAGGGAAAAGTGAAGTGCAAGACTAGAAGTGCTATGATCTCATCTGAAAAACACAGCTTCATGGTTTCAAGAGACAAGGAGCTCACATATGGAGATTAATCTTTATAGTGCTCTACTCCAGAAATTGATTCAATAAATTGATTTTAAAAAGCATTTGACACAAACTGCTAGAAATGATGCCTCTAAGGGATAAAGCACAAAGAGAAATATAGAGAAATATCAATAAAGATGCAAAAATATTGTTCATCTCCAAAATAATGCAGGAAAATCATGTGAATAATAATGCAAGAAAACGTTTCTTCGAATTAATGAGGATTCAATTACCTTAGAGCATTAATATAATCAGAGATTTTGAAAACAAAGTATTTATGTAAGACACAATGCAATTATTTCCTAAATAAAAAATGAGTTCCATATGCTCAGGTGTAAACTTCAATTTTAAATATGATATTTTATGAATTTAACAGCTACTTCTGAACTTTAATTTTATTCTTTTGTTTTCAATTTGTATGTTAAGTTTTGAAAAGAATGTCTACTGTTTACATTAGAAAAATCCAAGAGCCCAAAATATAAGCATGTTAAATTTCTCTTTGGTTAACCTAGAAAAATGGTCTATTGTTAAAACATTTATATTACCACTATGATACAGACAGATTGTGATTTCCAAACTTTGAGGGTTGCTGAGACTCTCTTAAGGTGTCACAGAGTCCAAACTATTTCCTTACACATACTAAAATCAATATTTCAGAGCATTGACTTTTTTCACCAATGGTGTAACAATGATGAGTTAACCTGCTGGCATCTTGGCATAGGTCAAAGGAACTAGTATACCACCAATGTACTAAAAGTCACTGTATCCTTCACCAGCACACACTCACAGTGAA